GTTTTTGCTGCTTCTACTCAAGTCAATGTATTTCTTCGGGCAATCCGGCTAGTCTTGTGTTATAAAATGTCGGCGGGCTTTCTTCGTTCTGTGTTTTTTCCGCTATTTCTTTTGTGTAGCTACAGAATTTGATGTTTCAGTGTGCTAAAGTCCAGAAGTTAATGTAATGCTCTGAACGTTGGAGCAAAATTTTTCCTGATTTTGCTTTGTTTTCTGAGTTTTACCTGCTGCTACTGAAATCACTGTATTTATTCAGCTAAGCTGGCTAGTACTAACATAAGACCTTACGTTTTTAAACAACAATCGGTTATGCTTTACCTTGTTTTCTAGATATCCAAAGCCGAAGTTCGTTTTTATTTAGCTAAAATAATTGTTGCTGCCGTCTGTGACTCTTACTGTTCGCATGTTCGTTCCTAAATGTCCTTTATGATGTTATCGGCAAAATGAAAGGAAACAATCTGCGTTTTTTAAATTTTCTTTAGTATTATGGACAACACTATCCCACCAACGAGTCAAACTAATACAGAGTGCCCAGCAGTAGTGTGTATCGATATTGATTTCGAAAGGACCCATACTTCCGACAACTATAGATAAAGTCACAGATGCTACCAATCTGTTGCAGAGGGTTTGTTATGAAAAATATGTCTTATGGCAGTAATAGAGGGGTTGTACTCATTACGCAGTGCCTTAAAGCAAGCTTAACATTGAGGAGCCGGAAATCTGCTACCAGTGTCTAGTGTATGTTTGCTGTTTCGACCATAAAAGGAAGCCGAAGGGTCATGATCAGGGAGTAAAAAGTTTATTAACTGTTATTAAGCTCACTTTTTTATAGATCATATTTCACCACTCGCAAATATGCGTTTTCTTACGGTATGATGTCAACTGGTACCTAATACGTCCACCCTTACGATGAAAAGTACCTGTAAATTTTCACCTTCATATTCGAAATATTTTTGGACAACTGTCTTACAGTCTGAGTGCTTCGTACGCCCCGAGAAACTCATATCTACAACATTCGTAGTTCCAGTATTACTTTCTCACGCAGTAAGTTCAAATTAGACACTAGTCTTTCTAAATAAGCCTGTTAAGCTGATATCTGTATTCTCTATTTCAGTTAATCGATGAAGACATGTACCACATGTATCTGCTGTATACTGCCATTTTACTCCAATTCTAACTGTTATATCTTACTTTTGAATAATAAAATAGCTATATGCAGCAAATACAGACTTATTTGTTTTGATGGAGGTAGGGGGGTTCATGGGATTTTCAGCAGGACCGTATTAATATCCTCACTGAAGAGCTAAGCGAGTGCGTAAACCAGTGCAAGGTACCATACGGGGTGCATTTGAGTTACTAGTGTTCCATTAGTGCGGGTAGGGGCATTGCTTGCTTGTCATATGGCATTTGAATTAGAAGCTATAAGATAAGACGCAGGTACGATTAGGATGTGTAACGCGTATCCATCCATCAGCTGCCGTGACAACACATGGTGGTTAGAATAAGTTGTGAGAGGACCCGAGTCTGTAGGTCTCTCAAGAAAATGATGAAGATATGCACCAAATCACCTTATGAAGAGCGCCTCCAATCACGTGACCTAATGGCTTACAATAACTTTAACACTTCTGGACATCCCTAAAACACCTGCTTAAGTTTAGTCCCAATACCAACCTAAGGGGCAACACCCATGAATTGGAGACGCAACACTTACTCTTTGGAAGTTGTCAAATGCTGAAATTGTCTGACGACTGAGTTAGTCCAAGCGACTTCCCAGGAGTCCTTTAAGATGGAAGTGGATTTGTTCTTAAGGATTAAGGATAGTATCATACTATGATTTACCAATTTCTCTTTTATTGTTAACATATCTGGGTTCCTGCCTGGAGGTTCTGGTGACCCCCTGCTACTAGACACGGAAGCCTGTTAAGCGAAAGCTCCTTCCATTCCGTCCACAACCATTTGAACACATGAACTAGGTGCTGAGAGACTCGCCTATGACAAGTTTCTTGCGACGATTAAGTAGATAAAACAAAGTAGCATTAGATTCAAAAATTTATTCGAGAAATTTCATTAAGAATCGAATATCAAAAAAAGGTTTAAACCAGGTTCCCGTTTAAAAGTTGTATTGGTAATGTTAATCTGCAGTTTTCGTTATTTTTTTCCAAACGAAAGAGTAAAAAAGTCAAAAAATACTGGAAGTGGTTGTGAGACTAAAATGGACGTCCAGCATCCTTTTTATAATCTGCTGTTCGTTGGGTCTCCCGTAAACAGTTCCATAGAGCCATAGTTCCAAGGGCGAAACAGTTTCTAGGGTCTGTGAAGGCTCACTCCTGTTGCATTCTAAATGAAAACAATAGTGATGGATTTAGTCAAAAATGTGGAATAGATAAATAACCAAATTACATGTTTTTTAGCAAAGAATTTATGCAGTTGTGATTTACCTTGAGTTCATGAATATTAGATAAGGTCAGCTATTATTACTTGCTCAAAGCATAACATGGGCTTAGTACCGTATTGCAATGCTTTTATTATTTTGCTCCCATTTAAGTATTCCCATGCATCTAAGTCTAGTTTAACAGGAAAATATACAAGCAGAGTAAGTGTATGATAAACTAAAAGTCCCATTTGTCAAAAAGATTCTTAACATTTGTCCACAGCCAGCTGCATTTAATTGAGACGCAGAACACTCATCTTCTAGGACTGTATACTGCTGTTTTGCGGGCAACTAAAAGCTCAGACACTTAGCTATCTTGCTACCGATGTTATTGCTGGGGAAATTGTTTAATGACAGTGATCATGAAATATGGTCAGTGATAGATGTACAGTTTAGAAATAAACACCAAACATACTTATCGCTATCTTATAATGTATGTCAGCAACAGCATCAAAGGCACGTTTTTTCCTATTTTTAATCAGAATGATCTGAATCCGTATACACATTAGAAACAGGCAACTCTACTTACTAAACTGATCTGTTTCGTTACAGGCTTCGAGCACTATACTTAAGTATATTATAATTCTTTCAACTAAACTAAATTATACGACAACCAAGAACACTAAACTAAGCAAGTGTCATAGTTATTGTTTCACTTGCAAAGACATGTTCCTCAAAGTAGTTAAATGAACATAATTAAGTTGATAAAACCAAAGCACGAAATATAGGCCAGTTGAACTTACCTAAGAAAAAAAAGAAGGATACATATAAACTGCTTTCATACTGAAGATAACAGGGAGTTGTTCATAGAAACACAGTTTACAGTACAACAAACTTTTCTTCAGTAAAATCATGCACTGACAGTCTATCTGGAAACAATCAACTATGTGAATTAACTTACTATGACTTGAGATATCATCCCAGCGTCCAATGGACGTACAGTGTAACGCAGTCAGACGTGGCGAATAAAAATTAAAAACAGAGCAAAATTAATTACACAATCTAGTTATTTAATTAAAAATACATTATGAAATGACAAAATCTGTGGTTACTTGAACGCACAGATGACTATGTGCGATACATTAAGTTTACATGGTTGCGTTGCGGATAAGATCACCCGGTAAATAAACGTCTGGTGATCAGTTATAATAACGAATTTTACATCAAACAAATATTTGTGCAGTCGTTTTGGTATAAAGACATACTTGTTTTTCTTTTTATCTAAATGTCTCTAAATAAAAACAACAGATTTGCCATTCTGTTCCGGAACACCACTTGATACCAGTGAAGGTTTATCACCAGTGAAGATAACTTTTTCAGCTGTCGTCTAAGGTCTGAAAAAGCAACGATATTCAAAAACTATTTTTCGTCGTATCCTCATCGGAATTGTTTACTTAGAAATCAAGTCAAAACACGGCGATAACAATTGTATAAATTTAGGGGTAAACGTGGAATAAAATTGAAGAGCAACAATTCATAACTTGAGTGCAGAAATATTCGTAGGCGGCGTTGCTTGAATCGGTAGAGCTAGACGACTCATATGATGTTTACAACCCTTAGTATCTACGACATAGTCAAGACAATTGATGGAACTGGATTGAAACTGACACATTTACTGCCATATTTGTGTCACAAAGCGTCTGATTAACTTTAAAAAACGTTCATCATGGAACCCCATATTATTAGCATGAACTGCGATATTAAGCTGATACGATTCCACACCATCAAGGATGGTGATAATCTGATTTGCGAGCTTCTGAAATATCACAGACGAACGTTTGATGCGAACGGTAAGAATTTTTCTGAACACTCCGAATGATGTTTTAACAGTAGTTAGTTCACTAAATATTCCTTCTAGTTTAATTCGTAAATACTCATATTTCAGGTCTATTTTAGAGAGATACCTTAACCCTCATACTTTATTTGGGGCATCTCTAGTTTTTTTAGTGGCGCAGCTCTGTTGCAATAGCGGAAGAGTTTGTGTCGGGCGGTAGTCACCACAAATTCCAGCTGTCTTCTCCATCCGCCTTTAATTGAGTCATAATGAGGGTATCCCGGTCTACCCCAGTTGGCCAACCAGACTGCTCAAATAGATTTTTTATCCTTTTTCGACTCATTCCACTTAGCTTGATCTTCAAACGCCCCCTAAACGATGGTGAAATTAGTCAATGCTTCAAGAAGACAGGTTCCCTCTTTACTTCTGAGTGTGTTAGTTGAATTTTGAAACCTCCCACGGATTTTCGAAATAAAAGTGATTACCCAGCACCCTATCTCAGTCTTCCGGAATGAAAACGTTTATTTGTACACTAAAATCCAAGGCTTATCAGACTTTTCACACGAGTTATAGATTTTATAATGTGCAACTCTGTCAGATATCTGGAATCATCACTGGAGTAAATCCCCCGATCAGATGAGTGTAAACATTTTGCTTATTAAGTGTCTGTTTAACAAAAACTGCTTTATCAGCAGCATCGGCTCTATTGATTGATAAATCAGGAATTTTTTATCACCAACTTCATCGATACTCTTTCCTATGTTGTACATTGCTCAATCTCAGTAATTGTGCGCGATTTCAACGTTTGAACCTCACTGTTTTTGGATACTCAGTAACAAGTGACTTGTCGTTTAAAAGATGAATGGTTATACTTGAGACTAAACTGAACAAAATTTCAGTGAGTGGATTAGTTAGCACTAGCACTATGTAAATAAAATAACTTGGTTGCGTGTTACTACATCAAAAACGAGTTATATTGTCTCTGAAATTTCTCATTTGAATTAGCCTTGACTCACTGAGTCATGAAATTTCAAAAAATCTTAAAGAATTAACATTTCATTAAGACGTTAGAAGTGCATTATTTTTAATAACAAGAATAGCTTTTGTTGGTACAACACTTCGTCTTTCAAACAGTTTAATTTTTATGTTAACTACGGCAAGTTTGTATACAAAGCACAAATTCGAACCATCATATATCTGATATGTATTTGTATAGTCTGTAGTGATGTGGCGTTGCATTAAAAACAACTAACTCAAATTCTCTGTGGTAACATTTTTAATTGTGCAACCGTTCTCTATCTACCTTTACGCATGTCATTATAAAGTGTATATACCCCAAATATAAATTTGTATGTCCTACTAGTTTAGTCAGGAAGCCTACTATTAAGGACAAGTCACACCACGCAAACGTTCAGAGGAAAGAGAAGGTATGCAATGGTGAGAGGTCGAAATAAATGCATCATTAGTAGTGTGAACGAGACAGAAAATAGCTAGAACTAAAATAATTACATCAAGAGGAAATTATGAGTAAGCATTGGAACTTGTTACTTAGCGGAGTTTAAAGAACGAATGTGTATTCTTTACTTCGACCGAAATACTGCTTAGTACCAAAATGTAGGCTAACGGATAGTTACTGTGTTGGGATAAAAAAACTGGATTAGTATTAATTATGGATCTGGGAGCCTAATAGACAGTTATTTGAATCCCATTACGAGAAATCTTTAGGACAAGTTTCTGTGGTCAATGTGTATTTTTAATCTGGACACAAAACCTAATTTGGGTGGAGCTGTGATTTGTTTAGTCACGACTTTTTCTAGCCCCGCTTCACATACGAGTAGGCGGCATAGCTCGTAGTGTTGGCTCCGTGAGAATCATTTAATTATCGTCTAACCAAGGTAGTCAGCAATACGTTTATCCTCATACATGAGTTATTTTATCTCCAACCTTACCGTTTTTCGTTTTACCCGTCAGGCATAGTAAAATATCAAGTTATTTGTTAAGATATGATTATAATAGGCTGTCATGGTGATTGCATCAAGAAGGCAGCTACGGTTGGTACGACGTTTAAAGCCACTGGTGATAGTCAGTTTCTAATTCAGGAAGCTTGCTATGCAACACAGGTTTCGGTATTGTTTATTCAGTCCCTGTAGTATTCATATCAGTCATCTCTATGAACAATAGAAAATTGGTCCGTTTTTTGACCTAGTGATCCTAATTGACTTCTAAATACTGAATAGATGTGGAATGCAAAATGAAGGGCACTAGTAGCTGAATAAATTCACAAAAAGCTAGGTACTTTTTAGTTTTTCAACGTTAAACGTCTTATGGTTTGTTATCAACTGATATTTACCAAATGTACTCTATTCTATGCACGTTGTATTTTGATTTTCAGACCGCTCAAAACCCATAAAATGATCCGTTCTGACTGTCATCAATGCCAATAATTTATTTTATTTCGTATCTCCTAGTTCTAAATTCATGAAATTCGGGAACCAGACCAAACAATTCTCTCATCACGTCAAAGTGGGTCCATGTTTCACTCGCCCTGCTTATCGAGACGGTAGGCGTAAAACAGCTGTAAAGGTAACTCGTAGCTTTTTTATTTCCCAGGTCTTCACCGTAGCTGATGAGTCATGTTATCTCTTGATATTTGGAGTCCCATCACTGGACCTGGAGCACCCTTTAAAGGAAAAGTGTAAACAGTATGGGAATGTCCAAAGTGTGGTGAAAATTATTGATTATCCAGACAAAGAGACATTTACTGATGTTTTTGTCGTAAAATATGATAATCTCAAAGCCGCAAGGTGTGAACGTATTCCTTTTACATATTTGTGAGAAATAAACTTGATAACTCACTTCTTTTTCGTAGAGAAAATTTATGAGATTTTTCCTTAAATGTTATCTAGATATGCCAAGCGTCTATTAGATGATTCTTCTTTCTACGGAGGTTCTTTACACGTCTGTTATGCACCTGAATATGAAACTGTGGCTGAATGTCGTTTGAAGCTGTACGAATGCAGGCATTTAAATGCAAGAATTTCCAGGAAAGTGGGTAAGACTATCGGATGAACTCGAACTCCACACTGGTTATTATTTTAAACCGCTGGACGTTTATCACTTGTCTGTCGTGGTTGGTATAATAAGTTTTAATAAGATACTTTTCTGGGCTACTTGATTGTTAACGAGTGGTTGGTGTGAAGAGACAAATAGAAATAATCCATTGGATTTTATCGAATAAAGTGTATATATTTTAAATCTTTAGTCAGGGTTAACAATAATATTTAATTTTCATTACTAAAAAAATCCATAACATTTGAACATATGATTCTGTGGATTAACTTGGTGTGCTATTAAAATCCATTTCAATGCCTGGATTTTCCGTCTGTTTATTTTAAATAAGGTCAAGAGAAGTCGTTTAAAAATTCACTAAACAAAAATAATATATTTGTAATATCTACTCATTGGGCTATTACAAATATATTATTTTTATTTATAGCAATCAACCCAATGCTCAATTTATTCGAAATTATCAAATCAAACCTTGGTAATGACACCTACAAATCCATTAAACGTCAGGATTATCAAGAGGTAAAGTTTGAATGTAAACAATCGGTTGGCTAGAAATTATAAAATAATATATGGTAATGTAACGAAGAACAACTAGTGCTACTAAGTAAAATCCCGAGTAATGTAAAACAGTGCACCTATTTCGAGTCTCTTTATTGCCAATGTCTTGTAATTGCATACGCTTTTACATGCCGTTCGGTTCAATGGTTATATGGGTTATGTTCTGTTACTACAGGTTTAGGTCAACTTAATTATTAAACAACTGTATTGTGTTACATATTTAGTCCTTAAATTATAATTATGCTTACAGTCACTTTCGCAACAGAAAAGCCGTATGGTTCAAATATATACTTGCAATTTCTTGTTGCAATATATACAAATGGTGATTTTTTAAGTCACGTTTTTTCTTATAAATTTTAGTCAGTCCTCATTGTTTTATAATATGGTCCATCTGCTAAGAATAGCTAACTGCTAGATAAAACTATTTTGGCATATTCTTTTCTTACTAAATCATCAATTTAGATTCACAGAGAAAATTCATCTAACTGTTCGCCGTCTAATTTATGGTTCATCCGTGACTATAAACTGTCGGTTAGCTAGTGCTTATTGTATAGTAGGCACTATTCAAATTGTTCAGTCTTCTATACGAGGTTATGTAACGATTTTGCGTATTTCTGCTTGTTCATATAAGATAATCAAGCAACTAAGTTGTACATTTTTCAGTATTTTTCATTTCAATGAATTATTTTTACTACGACTTACTTTTGTTTGATATTACCTTTAAGTTAAATATATTATTTATGGTCACATTTTGTTGCTGTTGAACTGGTTGATGTCGGGCTGTTTATTTACATTTGACCGATAATTATTATATGATGCGAAAGGCTTCTTGTTAAGTCGTCTAATACTAGTAATCTCTTGGGGTGTGTTTAAAATAAATTGCGTGTTGCTTAATGTCTTTCTGTACATTATTTTTATGCAGAACATGATTATCTTCAGAAATTCTCTACTAAATGTCAAACATCAGATCCGGATTCTTCAGTTCTTCCATCACCATCTGTATCATCAACATCAGTAAAATCTGATTTGTCAGAATCTATAAAATTAGAAATACCAACTAATCGGGATATAACTGTTCTACCGGTTTCACAAGAAAACACAATGCATTCCAATGAGTCCGCCACCTACCAATCATATGACGCTTTAGATGACTCTCGGCTTTATTGGAGGAAACTTGGAATTACATTATTTGACAAACATCAAACAGCCTGTAATTTCGGTACTTCTTGTCCTACTACTGCTGCTACTATCAATTATCCATCTATTCCTACACCTTGTGATTTATCAGTTGCCCCAAAGTGAGTGGATTGCACACTATAGGTTTTACTGTGTTTTTGCTACATTTTTCTTTATCGTCTTAGCAGCAGTAACTTTTGATTCTTTTGATGGGAATACTCATTTTCGTTGTAGTTTCACGACAAGAGTAAAATGATCGTACTTTTTTGTGATGGTCGGATTTTCCCTCCTTGGTTTCATTATATAATCGTCAGTAACCATTCAATATAACTACCCCATTTTAAATCTAATAAACTTAACACTACTGATAAAAATATTACGTTAACACAGATACGGATCAGGTTTTTACTAGGTGAGATATTATATCCTGATTCTAATTTCATTATAACACCAGTCCGTAAATCAGAAAGCGTACCATTCAACTTCAGAGTTGATTACATGGAGTTAGCACAGAGCATTCAAATGAACATTATCCTGACAATAGCTGAAGTCATACGTTGCTAGCTGGTAAACATCTTTGTCAAGACTTCACAATCAGAGAATAGAACTTCGCTTACAGTGTTGTTACTTACCTGAGGTTTTACAACCAAATAAACGTCTTATCGATCCTAACGTTCTTGTTGCTTGCTTATCTTGCTTTAACTTCCATTGTGCGAAAATATCTCTCCTGCTATGTTTTAAAGGGTCTCTACCAAAGATATGTGCAACTAAAAAATTATTTTCAGTTTAAAACTTTAAATGCTTAATATTCATATTGTTGTGACATGCGGAGTGCGATTTGATACTGGCACACAATCTTCCTTTACACGAGCCCAATCGGCTACTCAAGTAAAAAGACTGAGAACGGAGAAGTTTACTGAGTAAACCGAATCGGGAATGTGTGTATACTTTATATATATATGTATATATATATATATATATATATATATATATATATATATATATCAAAATCGTAAGAATAGTCATATGATCTAATACATAAGTATCAATCAAAGGATCTAATGCTGTCTTGCAAATTAGGTAGATGTAAACTAGTTTCTGAAAATACGTTATGATAAGAACCGATTTAGAATGGGATCAAAGATTAATCCTATGTGATAATCGCTCAGTTTAACATTCGACTGTATTTCGACAAGTACAAATCATTAATTTTCTCAGTGTGTTATACTCCACTGTATTGTAGTAATTATTTCACGCTGTTTTAACACTTATTCAGCTTAAAATCCGTTTTGAGTGAGCTATGATTATTCAAATTTAATTATTGATCACTGGGAAAGAAATCTGTATGTAATGAATGTTGTTTTCCCATAAGATGTCTTTTCATTATCTGGGGTCTGGGTTGAAAGTATTGCGGGTGCTAAGTAACCGCATTTACTGCTGCGGCAATATCATCAAATAATTTAACTAAGTGCAGATTACAGTAGCAATAAATCCTCTTCCTACCCGAGATACCACGTACTTTGATGCAGATTACAAATAAGCATGAAAGCTTCACTCATGACCTTCAACTGAATAAATGTAGCATTTCATATTTTACCTTGTATGGAATAGTTAGAGTATTTGTAATTTATTTGTTAACTTGTTTCTTTTCCTATTTTTGTTTTTGTTTAGACGTTCAATACCCCTTTCTGTCCAACAGGCTTTAAGTTGTCGACCATACTTGGAGAATATTTCGAAACCTAATACATCGTTGTCAGTCAGCAAGGTATCTTCTGACACTAACAAAACAGTGAAGCACTACCCATCTATCTCCTTAATCCCACGCGTTATTATTAGTAAAGAATATAAAAGAAAACACTCGACAAACTCAGAAGCTCTTCCACAAGTATCAAAGTCAACAGCCCCTATTTCTGTAGGTGAATTAAAACGATTAGCCTATTCATTAGGTCCCAAACAAGGACCAAGTTTACCGCCAACACATGATCAAAGAGAAAATAATATTGATCGAACAAGGTTAGTCAACGATTTTTACTACGACTGTAAGCTTCAAAAGGTGACGTTAAGAAAGGAGATTAAGAAACTTTGCTACTGCTGTTTTCGGGTTACTTCTTGTACTTTCACTAAAAGAAATCAATTCTACCTATTTTTACTGATTTCTTCAGTTAATATTACCATCCATAATACAAGTTGGTCTCATATAAAGTGCTTAGATGATAGGCACGTTTTCCTGTACATTGATCGAAATGCCCTTCACATTTAATCACTAGAAGTTTGGTTTAAAATGCCATATTTGTAGGTGAATCATGCACATTCGAACGATTTTGTTCATATTCCGGTCTGATTATATTTTTGTTCACTTGTATACTATAGCTAATTTGTTGGATATCGATATTTCCAACGGTGTAAATATATATTCATTTTGCTGTGAAACGTTTTTCATGATTTTATGAGCGAAATAAAAGGAACGAATACTGATTAATAGGCAATATCCAATAATGCAAAGTGACAGAGTGCTGACTACTAACGGGAAGGAATTATTGGCGTAATCCCTCGACTACTAACTAGAAATAAAAACTTCTTATGTCATAAGATGAAATGCTTATACACAAAATATTCACGTAAAATAAACATGATAAATTGGAAGAAATCAGTTTTGCAGGTTACTCACTTCCTAATCACTTAAGATCTGATTGTTAGAACTAATTTTTATGCATCATATCTCATTTTTAGAGACCATGTCATATGTCATATTTATTTATTTACTTATAAGTGTATTTAAATTGATCAACTGAATTTATCTAGTTATTCAAGAGATATATATGCCTCTCATTCCATATCTAACAACCAACAGCGTTTCACTATTAATGGTTTTGTGGTTCTATTAGAACGAGAGCCTAGTTAGGAATCCTTGAGTTCTCAACATCGATCTTATAGTCAGTAAGCTAATCTTATGCACAGAGATAGACTTTATTATGCTTATTAGACTAAGCTTTCTAAAATTTATCTACACTTTAAACAAAATTGTACCTTATATGTTAGGCAGCGATTATGTGTGCGCAGGATTCATATAAACTCAGAAGACGGGCTTCGAAGGTTGAAATTTATCAATTAAAGAATATACTGAATTTTATTCTAAATTATACATTACATTGATAAAAAAATTTATCATCTTGATAAATATATAGTCAAATATTAATCTCGAAGACTCAAAATTCCTCAGTTTCACTATAGTGTAAATGTATTCTGGTTTATTTAAACTGTACTAAGTATTACCAGTAGAAATAGTGTTAAAGGAAATCGTATTTCAAACATTTTTCTAGTTTTTTTACTTCACTTCATTGATCACCCATGCGTGTGAGTAAAATCTTCACTTGTTATTACATTGCCTTTTATAATTAGGATTGTATTTCATCGTTCAAATTCCAAACGACATTGTACACATCCTTCAGAATCTACAGACAATTGAATATGTGATACTCATTTTGTCGGTCACGATCTTCAGGTAAGTTCTGGTATAATTTGTGCTGAAAGTAGTCGATAATCGGATTCCCCAGATATTTTATTAACTGAATCATCATTTATGCGTATGATTGTTATAACTTGAGCTGAGACTTGATGGACAGAGCACAATAAAATATAACTCGAAATGAAATTTCTTATGGCTGGACCCGAAATACAGAACAAGTACTGTTGCATACGAACATTGATTTGTTCATCCTAAATCAAAACATCGTTTAACAAAACACAACTTAAAACGAGTGTTACGTCTCGTGCTATGTATTCCAATTATTTTTGCGAAGTGGCTACCGGCTCCACACAAGACTGTGTTAACTAAAAAAGGGAGTTCATAAGAGGATGATAATCTATAGTAATCCAGATTTGAGGGATTTAGGGAACTGTATCAATTTGAAAGCTTGTCAGATGCTCGGAATTGAAATATGTAAATTAATTGGTCAAATAATCAGGTTGTCAGAAAATACTTTTCCGGTCACCCATCACATTACGAGGTATTATATTATCGTAACGAATATGATGGAGTGCAGCTACTCTTTCAAATATGGAATGCGATTATCATGTCGGTATCTGATTGATTAGGCTATTCAGTTTAATGATATGGTCAGTCGAACTGGCTTATATGAGAGACGGTTGGTTTTGTCTAGTGAATATGTGAAGCTCGATAAATGCTGAATACAACAGTATACAAACAACTGACTGGACTCGATATAACGAAAGATATCATCCAGATGTTGAATAATCATCAAAATTTCTGGTTGATCATATACTTTCTGTGACATATTTCGTCTGCTTCTATCCAGTCCCTGGTGACCTGGGTGTAGTTTTAGAATTTCACTTTCATTCTGAATAACTCTGTATGTAGGATTACTTTGTACCAGCAGCACTCGTCTAAATGCTGTGATCGACTTTTCCATTTCGTTAAACATGTTATTTTGAAGATACATCAAAAGTATGAGACTTTCTTCAAGGTCCTGTAAGTTAGAACGGAATATACAAAAATCAATGTCACTGGGATAGGTCTATGTTTACCGTTTGGTGCTTTTCGTATACATCAAACGCAGATAGAATCGAAATTTGCTAGCTGAAATATTTTGTTAAAAATCATGTTAACATAATGTAATGAACGCGCCCACCGAAGAACGTTGCGTTTAAAATGAACGGGGTGCAATACATAGTGTGTTTCTGGGAAATTGGTAGATGGGGCAATTTTCGTGACGGGATTTTCTTCACCGATGAAAAATCCCGGCCAAAACACTACATCGAACAAAAGCTGGAAGCGTGGAAATCATTTTGGAACTTCTGACTAGGAATCTCAACACCACAGGTATCACCTTCATAGAGTCATTTAATGTGACAAACTCGTATAGCGATGTTCCCTCCCTGTTGCAATTGTATGTATCATCAGTATATGTGAAGTCCGAGGATCGGTGGTTTTCATTTTGCTGATCTGTTGTTTAAAAAAGCACCGTTCAAAATCACCATATACATCACGATGCTTCTAAGCTTCATCCCCAAGATCAAGGATATTTTAATATAATGTTTCAAAACGACCTACTAACAAAAGTTTACAAAGTCTATCACAGCCGTTGTCTTTTTGTTCAGTAATAAAAGGTAAAGAGACTGGAGTAAAATGTCTTTTATAGAAAACTCGAGGTAGTACAAAATGAAATCCAAGAAAACATTATACTGAACAAAATACTTCACTAGATTATTTACGTGACTTCATATTTGATCCCTTTCTAACAATGATGAAGCTACCCGGTGATCAACATTATGGTTTAAATGCAGTTCAAGTTATAGAGGTTAGGTGATCGATAAATTAGTGGGTTTATGAGCCTTCAGTTACTCATTATTAACTATGAGTTCTGGATAGAGGTGGACATACGTTTTGGAAATTCATTGCTGATTCCTACTGAACGTTATGAAAAGTTTAGGCATTAACTTTATTATCTGAATAGATTTTGAATCATACTAAGAACTATTCAATTATACAACTTGCTTAACTTATATATAATCATTTTAAAAGGTATAATTAGTGAATATGCTGCGAATAATTAATTGGACCATCACTGTACACTATATCTTCAATGCAAGTACTGAAGATTTAAAGAATTGAATGGGATTTATCTTGTGGTTCTGTGAATATTTGTTTCTGTTTTCTTTGAACTTACTTAGCACATATTTTGTTTTTCCTGATAAAATGATCAAATATAAGAGCATTAATATGTTGTTTGTTATTTGTTACTTAGATGATGAGAAAGGGGATTATTGAATAAGAGTGTTATAGACATATGTTTTCTTTTGAAGTCACTTTGTTTGATGTTTCAAATGGTGATTATCATTACAGTCCATAATCTATCTATCGATTGATTATCAAATGTGTTTACATTCGCCTTCAACTAAAATAAATGTACCGTAACGTTAATCCGGTACAATATAGAGCAAGCGTCTGAAATTTAATCTCATAATAAGTACCATCCTAAAAGTTTTATCATGTATGCCAATCTTATTGTTCAAGGAATGGTATTATTGTGCAGAATTAATTTGTGTTAAACGAATTTAATGTCATTAGGTTTAAAGTTTGCAATTTAGTATCACTGAATCAGAATCAAAATGATTTTGATTTGTTCACATTTATGATTCAAAATTTATGACATGAATCACCAATAGATACCACAACATATTTTTACAAGATGAAGATCTCATGATACCTGAATTAGAGCTATATATGGTTTGAATTATTTTTTCCGGTTAGCGTTTTTTTAGCGAGTTATTTTTCTACGGGTTGGGGACGCTAACCCCATGCCCAACCCTCCTCCTTTACCCGGGCTTGGGACCGGCAGTAACTCTAGAAGAGCTACAGGTGGAGTTAGAGCCATATGTACCATTCTATTATTGACCTGCAATTTTTAGTTACAAACCTTCAAGGTATTCTATTCCACTGAAGTTTCGAAGATCAGGAGTCTCATGTATGGTTATCGTTGATCAAACAAACCAGGTTATTTACTAAAAATAATTTTAGGACCCTGGATGATCGGCATCATAAATGAATGATTACAGGCTGTAAACATCTGTTTAAGTATCTTAAACAGACATAAAAGTTTTGAAATCCAATGCCTTTTAAAGTACCAACATTTCATATTGTTTGTTATAAGCATTCCTTTAATTAAACCATTACATCAAAGTAGTGATATAGTTGTCTCACTAGTGAAGCGTTGGCTAAGTGATTGAAGTACGCAACTTTCAGTCGCTAAACCTCAGGTTCGAACTTCTCTCCACCTAATTTAGTTTTGGGAACCGGATAGTATTTCTAACCTCGAAGTTAATTCCACGAATTTGCACCTGGTGAGTCAATAAAAATGGTAGGAGTCAGTTTAATGATCAAGATCCTTATTAATTTACATTATTACAGAAAAAATTACTTTGAGAAATAATCCACTTGCCTGTATTCAATTGATATGAAACATCGATAAATATTAGGAGAATTTCGGGGCTTGAAGGGAACCATAATAATATCATTACATAGAAATCATCTAATGAAGTATGAAATCTAAATTAATCACTTAGTAACAGTAAATGGATAAGTTATTTAACGAAATTACAAAAAAGAATCACAAATGCGTACTGTTTATCACAAATATTCTAATAACTAGTAAATAGCAAAATTAATTGTTCACCATATGTTTCCAGACATCTAAACATCTGGTTGTTAAATTCAAATGACCTATTTTCATGAAAACCAATACTAACTACTGAATATTAATCAACCTATGGTTTTTCTTGTTGTTAACGATCCATTAATTAAAATGTTTCATTTTTCAAAGCAAAACACGAACCATCAATATTAGAACTATATATAACACGAATCTGTGCTGTACCAACCAAATTTTTCTTAATCGGTAAGAGATTTTGGAGGTTGTTGAATTTTAGTTAAATCGTGAACTAATCTAGATTACACCACCACCATTGAGAATTTGGATGCACTAGACGGCCGTTTCCCCCTAGTATACATGACCTTGTACTCGGTACTCGAACCCAGATCTTTGGTCTCGCACGCCAAAGCTTAACCTCTAGACCACTGAGTCGGCACCCAACTGTGTTAATGTCTAACTTCAATCAGTCCACGACATTGCTCGACCATCGTTCATTGTCTTCGGTAGGTAACTGCCTTATATCTGACATGGTTTATCTCCACTGTTCATGACATACATTTGTATGATTTATTTTGATATACTGTTAGACGATTCAATAATTTACACGTTTCGACGTTTCCATAGATCGTAAAAAACAATAAAACTATCTTTCGAAGTGAATATTTTGAGATTAGTTACATTATAGCCGACAAAACGGAAGTGTTATACTTATCTCTAATTTACGTCAGATATTCGAGATTTATTAGTTATTCAACTAGATTTAGTCGAATAAATATTCAGCTGATAACAAGGTATTCAGTACAAGAAGTAGGCAGTTTTTGTATGCATCTATCAATGTGTATCAGTGTCATCTATCACAGTACGTCAGTATTATTGGAAGCAGTTACTGGTTTTACGAAAAACCATTTCTTTTTGTTGCACGCACATTTTTTAAAAGGAAGCTGGATGCATTTTTATTTGTTATCTGAACAGTCTGAGTATGTTTAACCAGCGGATAAGTTTTCTAAATAAAGTTAAATGTCTGCTACTCGAACCCTTAATACTGACTTCCTCAGACTCCTCTTTCACATAAGCCCCCGAATGTAGAGCGGAGGTGCCCAGCAAAAATAGGAGCTTTATTCTGAAGCTCGTTAATTTACAGAAAGCAACCGTATCTATATGTTTACTAGTAACGTTCGACACCCAGAAACTTCTGGAAATGTGCTACATTTAGCAACAGAGTAAGGAATCATTCAATCAAATTGTGGCATGTAACCCATCAATCTTCGTGGCATATACTGAATTGATTAAATGTTCTCAGTCTTTTCTTGACTTTTCAAGACCTTGTCGAAGAATTCTTGAGAAATCCCAACAATTATAAAACTTGCTGCTTTATACTTTAAGACAAAGAAGCTGAGATCAGCTAAAACTATCCGATATGAGAATATCAGAATATTGTAACATGACGTACGAGAAGAAAAACATGAATACAGTAAAAATGAGCTCTTGAAATGGAATCCTTAATAAAAATTACACTTCACTATCCAGCACTCACTCGTTAAACGAAAAGAAACATGGCCGATGTTGTATGAAACTCATTAGTAAACATTGAATACGTTATAGATAACCACAGACAGACTGATTTTTTATATACAGTGGTACTTAACCATCTATATTCACAGGAAAAAAAAGACGGAAAACATTTTGCTGATTATATCAATATTAACATTTATCAACAATTATCCCATTTAACAAGTTATTCATTTTAATACTACCATAATTTCAAAATATTTCCAATTAAACGGGAGAGAAAATAACCGGTAAACGTTGCACAACGTGCAAAATAGAAAGGAGAGAGAGAGAAAGAAAGATACAATGTATTTTTATATGAATGTATGATAGTTTCTAAGGGGAAACGAGTCATGTTATTGAATTGTTGATACAAATCAGTGAATTGTTTTATATTCATGACAATATTTACTTGAACATTATATATGTGTGTGCATGTTTACCAGTTAACCTACCTACTGTTTCATAACATTCATATATCATTAAGAAAAGAAAGATTTTTCATAATATAGAAAACAGTTTTCATTAATCAACGGAATAATCAGTTTTTCAATGGTAACTGGAATGTTCAACACATTAATTAAAATTAATAATTTGAAACTCTTAGGAAAGTATGTTATTAATAAGGGTATTAGGTCTCTTTTATGTAGTATAGGGAGGTCTATAGAACCTTGTAGTGTACGTCAATAAGTGATTTGATTTAGATAATCTTTGAAATCCAGAAAGTATTGGACACTTATTTCGATCAAGTATGGAACTGATTATCGGTTTTCATTCAAAAACCTACCTGATGTCAAATTCAGGACTCACGAATAGAGCTTAAGATTTAGAACTATGAATTAGTATCCAATGGTTTGCATGTTTGGTTTTAATCAACTGACGATATTGAGCAACTGTCTTTTAAGCTCATTACTGGGTAATTGCTCCATACCCAAAATGACTGAATTTCACTCGTTACAACACTTCACTAGAACTCCGGGAATTTCCTCCTCATTGATAAACACATGATGGCTTTTGATATTTGAGTATTAAGTCCCTTTTATTCAGCTGAATAGATAATTTATGATGATATTTATATTGATGAAAGTATTATGCACTCTTTTCATATTAAGTCTCTATGTGCTTGCAGATTTTTAATTACAACTGTTGATATCCATTGTGTGACTACTTTCCACATTCTGTTTTCTACCTTGAACTATTGAAACAGTCACTTGTATGTTGATGTGGATCGTCTTACGTTTAGTTGTAACCATTTTTAGCAAGTCAAAGTAGTCACTTAAGACTGCTTTTAGCCGCTGTTGAAAATATGAATAAAGACATCTGTTAATTTACTTTATATAGAAGACATATGGTTGGTATATTAGTTATGTTCGATACGAACTTTGATGTGGCTCAGTTATTAGATAGACATAATAATGTTCGTTGTTACACATGTGAGGCTTGGTGATATGAGCTAAAACAGCTTTAAAACTTCATACAGGGAATTTCAACCGTTCACTCATAGTTTTATTAAAACTTCATCACTGGAAACTGAATCTTCCTCTACGTGTTCAAAAACAATTATTCGTCAACTAGAGCCTACTGTGGTATTTTTAATCCATTTAAACCCCGGAGTAAACGATCTGACAATTTATCTCACAGTATATCATCTCTCTATCTGCCTTCTATTTTCAATTATCGATTTTGATCAACATCGAAGTATACAGGATAAGCTGTGACCCACATGTGAAGAAATTCGAACACTTCACTTTTACCTGAAGTTTGCTGATGATGCCATTCAGAAGAACGACGAAAGCTGCACGACTGAACTATCCAGCTCAAAGAACGAAAATCCA